ATGAACATAGTTAAGACGTCCATGCTTCCTAAAGCAATCTATAGATTCAATGCAATCCCTATCAAAGTTCCAACGTTATTTTTCACAGAAATAGAACAAAGAATCTTAAAATTTATATGCAACAACAAAAGACCCTGAATAGCTAAAGGAATCCTGAGAAAAAAGAACGAAGCTGGAGCTATCACATTCCCACTTCAAAATATACTACAAAGCTATAGTAACCAAAACAGCATGGTACAGGCACAAAAGCAGACACACAGATCAATGGAATAGAATTGAAAGCTCAGAAATAAACCCACACTTCTATGGACAGCTAATCTTCAACAAGGGAACCAAGAACATACAATGGAGAAAGGAAAGTCTCTTCAACAAATGGTGTTGGGAAAACTGGATAGCCATATGCAAAAAAATGAAAATAGACCATTACCTTATACCATACACAAAAATTAACTCCAAGTGGATTAAAGACTTGAATGTAAGACCTGAAACAATGAAACTCCTAGAAGAAAACATAGGCAGTACGCTCTTCGACATCGATCTTAGCAACATGTTTTCAAGCACCATGTCTGACTGGGCAAGAGAAACGATAGAAAAAATGAACAAATGGGACTATATCAAACTAAAAAGCTTCTGCACAGCAAAGGAAACCATCAACAAAACGAAACGACAAGCTAACAACTGGGAGAAGATATTTGCAAACCATAGATCTGATAAGGGGCTAATCTCAAAAATATAGAAAGAACTCATGCATCTCAACAAGGAAAAATCTAACAACCCAATTAAAAAATGGGCAAAAGACCTGAACAGACATTTCTCCAAAGAACATATACAGACGGCCAACAGGCACATGAAAAGATGTTCAGCATCATTAACTATCAGGGAAATCGAAATCAAAACTGCATTGAGCTATCACCTCATGCCCATCAGAATGGCTATAATTAACAAGACAGGAAACAACAAGTATTGGAGAGGATGTGGAGAGAAGGGAACTCTCATACACTGCTGGTGGGAGTGCAAACTGGTGCAGCCACTATGGAAAACAGGATGGACATTCCTCAAAAAATTAAGGATAGATCTCCCATAGGATCCAGCTATTCCACTGCTGGGTATTTATCCAAAGAATGTGAAAACACCAATGCGTAAAGATACATGCACCCCTCTGTTCATTGCGGTTTTACTCACAATAGCCAAGACGTGGAAGCAACCTAAGTGCCCATCAAGGGAAGAACGGATAAAGAAGATGTGCTATATATACACAATGGAATACTACTGAGCAATAAGAAACGATGAAATCCAGCCATTTGTGACAACATGGATGGACATTGAGGGTATTACGCAAAGTGAAATAAATCAGAGGGAGAAGGTCAGATACCGTATGATCTCACTCATTAAGTAGTAGATAATAACATCAAACAAACACATAGAGACAGAGATTGGATTGGTGGTTACCAGAGGGGCAGGGGGGAGGGAGGAGGGTGAAAGGGATAATTAGGCACATGTGTGTGGTGATGGATTGTAATTAGTATTTTGACAGTGAACATGAAAACACCATGTAATCCACGCGGAAATAGAATACAATGATGTACACCTGAAATTTATACAATGTTAAAAACCAACGTTACCACAATAAACTCAAATAAATAAATAAATAAATAAAATATAACAACCAAAAAACAAACTAGTTTTAGTAGATAGTAATGAGAATTATTTTGGAGTAATTACCTCATACACATTTATCACATTTTGTATGACACAAATTTCTGAATTTTATTAACATTATGTGTTTTATTCTTTCTACAAATTAAATTCTTCCATTATTTTAGAGGTCAATATGACAGAATATAGAAAATTCAAATCACACAGACCAATGAGTATAGCAAAAGATGAATTTTAATAGAGACCAGTTAACCTAGAATTTCTCCCCTAAAGGGTGAGAAAATCCACAAAATATGGAGCTAATGATGTAAAATTATAGGATCTCACCTGCATAGATATTATCCTGCTGTTCTATGGTTAATACAAAAGACTGCAATATGAATTTCCTTAACCAGACTGTAATTTGCTTAACCTGAGTAAATTTCAGTTTAGAAAATGTCAAAAGTTTAATTTGGTGCATACACAAATCTTATTGGTTATATAGCTCATTTTTCTAAGAATAGATTTACAATTTATGTAGTTTACAATGTGTTTATTTCGTTACCTGCTTAAGCTGCTCATCTTCTTTTTCCATAGTTTCCTCATAACAGTCACCACTTGTCAATTATAAGATTGTTTAAAAGTTTCTTTAGAACGAGCCCCATCAGAAGCAGAGAGACCAGACTGAATGGTGATTCTCTGCCTTTTTATGCTTCTGAGTTTAGAAGGCCATGTTTACATGATCCTATGACATTTACTGGTTCTCACAGTTTAGGGTCAGAGTGAAAAGGCAAAGGAGAGAAAAAATAACTAGAAAAAGAATAGCAAATATATCATGAGTAAGCATGACACTGAGACTGCATAATTGTCTTTTTAGTGAATATTTCCCACATAACTTATTTTAGACTAATTACACAGTGAAACCAATTGTTAAAAAGTAAAATCATCAGTCAGATTATTATTTCTCTCTCCAATGCTGTAATGGAAATAATCTCCTCGATGCCAAACATATTTCTTCATTTTATTAGCTTAAAAGAGTTAAAAACTTATGGGATGACTATCAAGCTTATAACTTGAACTGATTTAGCATTTTTCTCTCAAAATAGCAAAACTTTTTTCCTAGCAAACAAGCGTATCATTTACTTAGGGAAAATCGTTTGTGTTGGCTTTTCTGTTGTTTTGTGTTGATGAACTGCAGGTTTTTACACTGCATGGGTGGTCAAGTCTGTCCCCTGATATCTTTTAGAATATGAAAACAATTTCTCAGAGGTACTTGCCAATGGACAAACTAAATGACACACTACAAGCTCAAAGTCTCCTGTATTCTAGGGCTGTGTGAGGAGATAAACTGTCTTCAAAATAACCAAGTGTAAGAATTTCCTGTTCATACTATAAGTGACACGTCGATGAGAAATTTACTTTGTCCACTATTACTTCACTCTGAGACTTCACAGGCCAGTCTGTGAAGACCACAGACATTGCCTGTTACAAGAGTGACCTGGTCTCCAACTAGAGGATGCAAGACTCTGGCCAACAGAAGGTATGTGACGTTACTCTCCTGTCTCTCTCCTAGCTCCTCTCATTAAGTGGGAGATTACAAATGTTAGATGTGATGCGACAATTAACATATAATCAAATCACAGAGAACATTGGTATCGTTATTTGAATAATTCAGGGTAAAAAAAGCATAAAAATACGAAATATATTGGAGAATTTCTTAAATTTTGAAATTCTTACCTATGGGGTCAACTGCCTATACACATGGATATTTGGACTTGTAAATCAATATAATTTAAAGGGAAATCTCATAGGGAGCATGACAATGAACAGTTAATTTTGGATTTTGTAATCAGTATAAACACTATTTTATACATTATTTTATATTTATCCCAGCCTTTAGAAATAGATTTTTAAAATGCATTCATCCAATCACGAAGATGAAATGTAATCACCCATACACTTTCTTACATTAAATAAAAGTAGTTTGATTTTTAATAAAAATCACAAGGAGGTAATTTCCATAAAATGCTAATTTAGAGTTAAGTATAAACAATCAAAAGACTTTAAAACATTAAACAAAACATTGCACAAAACAGTATGCCACAATGATCAAGAGACTCCTGTCTAATGAATTGTTATATTGTCTGACTGATATGGTTCAGAAATAATAAATTGCTGTTTTAAAATAATAATTAACATAACTAACATATTATTGAGAGCTTCTAAATGCCAGATTGAGTCTTAATTGTTTCACGTGTCATATCATATATATATTTATTCTCATTTTAAGTTAGTAAACTAGGTTGCTAGACACTAAGTAACTTTTTAAGGTCACACGTTGTAAGTTTCAAAACCAGAATTAATTCCAGATCCTACTGACTAGAGAGCCTATTGACTGAATTATTAAATTACATTATCTGATTTATTACAATCGCTTACACAACTCAAGCTACCCTCACTGACTTTGGCAGCCATAGGATCTTTCTGGAGGTTTGCACAAACAGTGTTTTTCCATAGATCATCTACACTTTTATTCATCATTTTATAGTTTCGTATCTTAGCCATTAAATCGATTGCCAATTACGTATGTAAAATGTATATTTAAAAAAACTTTCTGTTGTTTTGTTAATACGTATTAGGTTTTGGACAAATTTAGTGCGTCATGTAACATTTTTCAACATATAAAATATATCTTTGAAATTTTAATAGTTTCTCAGAACTACACAGTCATTCAAAATAAAGTTTAATGGATAACACCTCATCCCCTTTTAAAAAATAAATTTAAGTTACTAAATAAAAATAATTTATCGCAGGAAATTACTATAGACGCCAACACTATTATTTCCTCAACTTTAGAACACTCAAACTTTAACCATCAATGGATTTAAAAATTGTCATAAAAACTGATGCATCATTTTTTTTCCAGTATGGCATTTTAATTTTAATGGTCATTTTAATACTGTTAAATTGTTTCTATAGAATCTGAATTTAAATTAATGAGGACATTATTATTCATCAACTTCTTTATTCCACACTGATTCTTTTCATTACTCCAACCAATAACATTGTGTGAAATGTAGAATATTGTTTTAAAAACTACTTATTCTCTCATAAAACATTTATTTAAAGCTTTAAGGCACCTGAAACTAGTGTAATGTTGTATGTCAGTTATACCTCAAAAAAAATTAATAAATAAAGGTCTAGGGAAATTAGAACTAGATTTTACGTTGTTCAAAGGCAAAATAAGTACTATTACTCACCTCACTCTACCCATTTTACTATACTAGGGATCTCGTCGTTATACACACCATTGATTAACTACTTTAGTACAGTGATCATGGAGCACAGTCCCTGTCGTTACTCAGCTGCAGGGATGAAAAACCAAAGAGAAAACTACTCAGAACTGAATCTGGTTAAAGGCGCAAGGAGACAGCAAACGAAAGGTAAGGACACTAAGCTCCTTTCAGTCACTGAACAGGAAATAACTGATGTGGAATTAAACCTTCAAAATGCTTCTCAGTATCTTCAGTGCAATGACAAGAACGACCACTGCAAAGGTAAAACATTTAATAGACACACAGTGTAACTTCTAGGATATGCAGCTGGGGTGCGGAGGTGTGGGGAAGGGGTACGGAATAAGCTCACATATTTTTCATTTGCGAGAATCAGAACGTGAAGTAGGAATATGATATTCTAATATAAAATCCGAGGAACAATTGAATTCAGGCATTGGTAAAATTTGTAGTCTTTGACCAACAAACCACAGAGCATTATATTTACTGAAAATGCAATAGCATATTCTGAGAGAAAGATTACAATGGTAGGTGTGGGTTTGGGGGCCCAAGTTTATATATATGATTCCCTGTGCATGTGGGTTCTCTCCTGTGTAAACTGTATAACAATTGTCTCCATCTCTCTTTCTCAGTGTTTCCATTTCTCTCCGTGCAGGTTTACCATCACCTCCCGAGAAGCTCATTGCGGGGATCCTGGGAATCATCTGCGTTGTCTTGATGTACATTGTAGTAAAAATTATACTTTTTGGTCCCTGTAAGTAAATTTTTGAAAGATTATAAGGGAACTTTTCGCTTTAATGATCATCAGTGCCTCTAAACATTTCTAATATTATGGACTAGAACTCTCATTTTAATGTATGCATTTAGACTAACTGTGGAATGGTTATTCTGAATTTGTCAAAAGTATAAATAACAGAATGATTGTAGACAGTATTTTATATATATATACACATATTCTGATTTCATAACTCAAAGACTTCTTTAGGAGACTGACAGACCTTGTTGAGGAATACAAATTAATTTTTGAGATTGGTTAAACCAAATACTGTAAGACATTGTGACGTTTGGTTCTTTAGGCTTTGAAATATTTTTCCCCCAAAATTCACTACTTTATTATATTTTTGGTAAAATCATATTTTTCCAGATTATTCTAATTCTAAACAATATGCCAAATTTCAAAGCAAAATACTAAAATTATTTCTATTTATTTAGATCAATATTATTTTGTATAAAAATTACTTGATTTTTCTAGCTGCTGTAATCCTGGAGTGGAACAATTCATCCCTGGTAACAAGGAAACAGAAAGGTATATAATGATTTTCAAAGTTCTGATATTAGTATACTTTTTATTTTGTCACTATATTGGGCTAGTTAAATATGATAATAGACTTTTTGGGGGACAATGAATTACAATATCAGGTAATACATGTTCACTTATAATAATTATCGCACAGTCTTCCTTTTTGTGCAGCAATAGGAAGGAAATTCATTTAAAATCACCATACTCATTGTTGCTAATTGGCCCAAATTTTCTACTGATGAGAGATAAATATTTTACTATTCTAAAAAAAGTGGTTTTGTTGGTTGAATTTCAAGACAATATAGAGTGAATATTTTTGTTTGTGTGTCTCTTTATATGAGCATATAAATTAGGGGTTGAGAGGCTGACCCTTCTCTGGACGTGTGTGTGTGAGTGTGTTTTGTTTTATATGTAGCAGCTTGTGAGGGCGCATAGATATGTTATGTACACATATGTTTCTACCTATGCAAATATGTAGGTTAATTTTCATTTTTTAAAATTCGAATTGTTTTTGGATAACAATTCATAATCTTTCTTCAGCATATCATTGTGGTCATTGTCCAAAGGAGTGGTTAACATATTCCAACAACTGCTATTACATTAGTACTGAGAGAAAAACATGGAATGAGAGTTTGATGGCCTGTGCTTCTAAGAACTCTAACCTGCTTTACATAGATAATGAAGAAGAACTGGTAAGATTTTAAATGTTTCCAACATTTTATTAAAAGCTATTTCAGTCAATATTTGTGAAAATCATCCATATTTTTGTACATATTTGTAGTCTTTATTTTAAAGTCTGTTACTGTTCCACTTTTTGATTTTATAATATTTTATTTATATTTTTATATCACTAATGCACATTTGATAATTTCCAGTTCTTGCTTTTCAGAGAAAACCATCTTTCTATAAATGCTTTTTCTTTTCTAAAATAAACTTGCCTGTTTAATTTTACCATACATCAAGGAAACTGAACGTAACACGTTTGTGCAGGTTGATTGCAAGTGAAAAAACAGATGCAATTACAAATCACGTCATGAAATAGAAGTTTCAGACCCACAGCAGCCCGCCCCTGAGTGTACTCTCATCGCTTCTCCTGCCTCCTCACTTAACCGCTATTCTGATTTTTCATATTTAATATTATAAATTATCTTTGCTTATTTTTAAACTTTATGTAAATGGAACATTCAGTGTACATTTTTATGTCTTTTACTCCCTATGATATTTTTATATTATTACATTTATCTGCAGTGTGTTAATTTTCACTTCTGTATTATATGATTATGACATTTTGGTAAAATCATAATATATATAAATATATCCTATTTAATAATTTATCTTTATACAATATAAATATTGTATTTATAACAATATTATAATAATTTATAAATGTAATTTTATTATAATTGTATTTCGGTATAATTATAGTATACTGTCATCTATGCATCAGAATGAAATTGCAAGGTCATAAATATAAGTGTATGTCAAATTTATTATATTATCTTAACCTTTTTTTAGTTTATTGTGTAAATACACAGTTTAATGAATAGTACCTTGAACCAATACTTAGTGCTATCAGGAATTTTTAATAATTCTGATTGTTGTATAACAGTATCATTATTACATTAGTAGAGGTTTTCCTGGTTACTATTAGATTGAACACATTTTTCTGAGCTCTTAATCATTAGAATATTCTTTTGTGTGAGAATGAGAAATGCCTGTTTGTGTCTCTTGCCCATTTCTCCTATGTGGTGTCTGTCTTTCTCCTTCCTAGAAGTTGCTGCTCCTTTTTGCATATGAGACCGTTTTGGATTTTATAAGCTGCAAATAGCTTTTTTGACTCTGTGACTTACATTTTTACTCTCATATTGGAGTCTTCTAATGAACAGAAGTTATTCATATTATCAGAGTCCAATATATCATTTTGAGTGTGTATGATTATTTTGGACCTATTTCAGAAATTAGTCAAAAGTCATGAAGATAATCTACATTACTCTCTAAGTTATATCTTTTTATTTTTAAAGTTTTACATTTAGGTCTATAATCCACCGAGAATTTATTTTTTGTGATGCTGGGAGGTGGAAGTGAAGTTTATACTTTTCTACATCATTATCTAAATCATGAAGCATTATTTAGAGCAAAGGTGATCTTTTCTCCATAAATAACTTTATATATATATATATATACATAAATATATATATACATAAATATATATGTATATATAAAGTTACATATACACATATATATGCTCTAATCTTCTTTATATAGATAATTTATCTTCTTGAAGTTTTCTAGTTTAAACTTAGGTTTGTGAGCAATTTTGAGCTTATTTTTGTATATAGTGTGAGGTATGGCTAAAATAATAACTATTATTATATTAGTATTATTTTGCATATTTTAGCCACTTGTTTCCACAACATTTGTTGACAAGACTATAATTTCTCCACTTAATCAGTCTGCATCTTTGTTGAAATCTGTATTCCATATATGTGTGGGTATAGTTTTTCACTTTTTAATCTGTTTCATTGACCTAGTAATCAATTTTCATGCCAAATCTATAATTTAAGCACTCTTTTTCTTTACAGTAAGTTTATATTAGTTACATTAGTTCTTTTTCAAAGGTGTCTTTTCTGTTCTAGGACTTTGTATGGATGTTTCCTAATTATTTCTATCTTTTTGAAGATTGTTTAGCTTTATTTTTTTTTTAAGCAAGCATGAATCTTAATTTTACCAATGCCTTCTGCATCGGAGTGATCACTTCATTTTATCTTGTTAATGTGATGGATTCATATTTTGGAGTTTCTTTTTTTTTCTTTTTTTTGTTTAATTTTTTGTTTATTGCAGTAACATTGGTTTATAACATTGTAAAAATTTCAGGAGTACATCATTGTACTTCTATTTCTGCAGAGATTACATCATGTTC